TCTAAGATTAAAGTCAAAATTCTGAGGAAAAAAAAACAGAATTCTGACTTTTTTTCTCAGAATTGTGAGACAAACGTCAGGAATATGATTTTAATCTGAAAATTCTGAGAAAAAAGTCAGAATTCCTAAATTAAAGTCAGAAATCTGTGTCAAAAGTTGGAATTCTGAGATCAAAGTCAGAATTTTATTTTATTTTTCCCTAGTGGCCCTTGTCTTCTTTCATCAGATATATCTGTGCCAATTTGAGTCATTAAATGAGCCCCTTCAGACATGAATAAGAATATCTGTCAAGACCCTTTTTTTACAAAGGGTTAAATCCATTTTACTGACCTATACTCAGTAAAAATAGTTTTCGGCCCAAATAAAGATTAGTACTAAAAATAGCAGATYCATGCTGTCACATGAAGCCCTATATTTGTAAAAAGGAGTGCAAACTTAATTTTGTTGTCATATAGGCCAAAACAAACACGTCCTCTAAATCAGGCTAACTGACAGTTAACACACTGATCACAGACAGAGGAGACATACCAGTTGCAGCCACGCATTCGTGATTAACACTTGATTCTTCTCATCCTAGAGGGGAACAACAGGAGACAGAACCATTAGCAGCAAGTAGATGTGACTGGAAACAGATAATAAATGAGAAAAAGCTGCAGGGAACAAGAAACCCCAAAAATAATTCTGCATGGCTGGTAAACGTTAAGCGTGAGATCAGGAGACGGATCGGGCCATGAAGTCAAACTGCAGCCCATATGAGTCAGAGCTGGCATGTTCTCTGAATGACAACGATGCGCTGCTGCTTCTTTTATGTGATGCTGTACATGTGTGCCATTTTAAGAAACGTAATAAGGTAACAGAGTGGAATGGGAGCAAGCTGGATCACTTTATACAGGCAGGAGTCAATGAGAGTGTAAAGAAAGGTGGAGACTGTTAGTTTAGCCATTTATTCTGACAGCAGGAACACCCACATCCTGCAGGGTTGATACGATGCCAAACAGTTYCATACAGAATAATACAAGAGAAAAGGTTAAAAAATAAAGACAAGTAAGAATGGGAAAAGGGAGAAATAAACATGTGATTGTTCAAAACAGAAACCAAAGGAGAAGCCAAACGGCTGAATCACAAGTCCTGGCAACACATTTGGACAAATATAATAAAAAGGCATATATGAATACTTCACAGCTGCATTTCAAACCATTTGGGTTTTATTTTGTGACTCTTTTAGGGACATGGAGTYACTGTTATAACTTTATCACATCATCTTCAATCCATAACTGAATCTGGAACCATTCAGCTGCTTCAACCCTTAGAAAATGTTTCCTTTTATGTTGCTCCGATAAAATCTGGACATTTTATCGGAGCACTGCTTTTCTTTCTGCCTGTTTCTCACCAACAGGCACACAAATCCTATCTCATCAACCATGTCTGGTTCCTGTTGTTTCAATCTGAGTTTTTTTTTTCTCTCAAGACATTTTAGAGCTTTTTATGTTGTAAAACATTTTAATTCTTTTTTTTGTAACCTAATTGGACATGTTAATAGTTTTAGTATGTCAGTCCTCTTTACAATAAAGACGTGCTTTATAATAATCTGTTCTGGTCATTCTGGCTGTTAAGGCCATCCTGTCAGAAAAAAAGAAAAGACGACAACATTATAAATAGGGCTGCACAATATATTGAACATTAATCATCATTGTGATAACAACTTGTGCAATAGGCATATCACAAAAAACTGCATGAACTGCAATAAATGTTTGGCTCAGAAGTTTGCATTTATGAGTTCTGTCATTCAGACAGAAGCTTGAATTACAGTATTTCACCAATGAAATGGAGCCCTTCACATATTTGATGAATTGGATGAATCTCTTCATATTTAAAAATAAAAAAGTCATGGAAAGGGTTAGTTTTTTTTTTTTGCTCTGAACGCAGAACAGAAAGACATCAACACTACACATGTATTTGTTCATTTATCACAACTCATATCATTATCGCAATATTAAGCACTGTTATCGCACATCACAGGTTTTCCTAATACCGTGCAGCCTTATTTATAAATGTGTTATTTAACTCAGAATGTTATTTGGAATCATATGGAAATATTTAAGTAAATGTTATGATGAATTTACAGATGCAAACTAGATTATTTTAATCCAATTAAATATAATTTTCTGATCTGTCGTGGTGAAGTGAGAGCTGAGCCAGAAGACGAAGCTCTTGGTTTACCGGTCGGTCTACATTCCTACCCTCATCTATGGTCACTTTGGGTAGTGAAAGAAAGAACAAGAGTGTGGATAAAAGTGGCCGAAATGAGTTTCCTCTGCAGGGTGTCTGGGCTCTCCCTTAGAGATAGGCTGAGAAGCTCAGTCATTTGGGAGRGACTCAGAGTAGAGCCGCTGCTCCTCCACATCGAGAGGAGCCAGTTGAGGTGGTTCATCTGGTTAGGATGCCTCCTGGACACCTCCATGGTGAGGTGTTCTGGACACGTCCCACTGGGAGGAGACCCAGAGGAAGACCCAGGACACGCTGGAGGGACTATTTTCTCAGCTGGCCTGGGAACACCTTGGGATTCCCCCAGAGGAGCTGGTCCAAGTGGCTGGGGAGAAGGATGTCTGGGTCTCTCTGATTGGCTCCTGCCCCCACGACCCGACCACCTTTAAGCAGAAAAAAATGGACGGAATGGACGGATAAACAGAATTTAGATCTATTTCATTATTTCTGTAGAAATGAACCTATTTATTTTTTACCCAAACTCTCCATTCAAACAGTGCCGCTGTACTTCTATGAAGCACTAGCAATTAGAAAATAACTGCCTGTTAGAAGTTTTAATCACTTATCCCTCTATTTGGAGAGAGAACGCATTTCAAATAATCATCACCCAAATCCCCACTCTTCATTCTCTAATAATTCACACATAGAAAGTGAGGTTTCAAAGGCTTTTGTTCCATTTCTTTGCCTTTCAACTGTCAGTCAGTCACTAAAAAGATATAATTCTTCAGATAAAAAGAGACGTCAAGGAAACTCTAAAGCAAAACCCTTTGGATCAAAGTCCTCAGAATTCCAACAATCCCTTGAGTGAACATGAAAATATGCTCTCAGGCTCATATGATATCAGGTGTCTACTTACAAAGAAAACAAATAAACCAAACATTAAGAAAGAAGCTGGTTTATGAATGTAGCAACATTTTTCTGTGAATCCTGAGTCGGGATAATCGGGGCTTTTAATGAGCTCCACAAACGATAACAGTTTTGTCATCAGTGACAGGGAAAACAGCAGACGTTCTTTCTCTTGTTCTTCCTCGTTAAAATCAATTCTCACACWCTTGCCCACCTCCTTTCTTCTCCTCGCCTCCTCACTCCCTCCTCCCTCCACACTTCAGCCTTATCTCCACCTGTCTTTTCTGATATGTGCCTCCTTCCTCTCTGCTGCTCAAACAGAACAGCCTCCCGTTGTGAGATTTTTATATTTCTGTCATTTTGGTGGGTAATACTGTTCAGATATTGATTTGGTTTTGCCTCAGAATCACTGGTTTTGATTTGTGCCTGACCTCCCTGCTGTGGTGTTTGTTGGATTTGACTCAGGTATAATAAGCTGTAACACGTAGTTCCTCTATAAACACTGATCTCTGCTTATATGTGCTTTTAGACAGGTTGATGAGATRCACACATGGCATTTGTTGAAAGCAGCTTATGGGTTTTTTCATTGCCAGTCATCACTCATTGTACTGTCAAGGAGAAAACCATTTTACATACATATGGATTGATGCTTTCCTGTAAACTATCTTGTAGATTGCATCAGAATGGCTTTTCATCTGTGGAATTGATCTCTTACAGTATTCCCTGCAGGGTAAAATGGGATCATTCAAAACCTCCTTTATTTATTCACTTATTTTTATGTAATTCAGAGTTCTTATTTCAAATTAAAAAGTAGTGAAGAAAATAAATCAAATATAAAGATTTTTTTCAACTCAATTCAAAAAATATTCATTTCATTAAAAAACTATATACAATAAGAAAAAATAAACCAAGAAAATAAACAAATCAAAATAACATGAAAGGTAGCAGAAGAAGAATAAATCTTATCATGTCTGCCCCCTTTATCCTCAGAATATATTCAAACAAAACATAATTTACAAAACAATATTAAATAAAAAATAAAATAAAAATAAAAATAAATAAAAACAACAACATAAAATTTAGATTTACTCCAAAAAATTTTAGATTTACTCCAAACATTGGAAAGATAAGATTTTATTTTTATGGTTCAAAAGATGTGAATGAATTTCTGCTTGAACATCTGTGTGTTCATGCTTCACAACTGAGAACCTTTCTTTCTCAAGCTTTACTGAACTAAATGTAAAGTCTGAAGTGTGAAACTGTTCTCCCACTTGTGCAAAAAAAAACAAACAAACAAACAAAAAAAACAGCAAACCGATCCATCAAACCGTTATAAGTGGAGGAACACAAAGATGTCTGGTCAGCAGATTTAGCAGCAGCGATGAAAAAAGAAAGAAGAAAGAAAGGAACACAACTCTTGCTTAAAATCCTCCTCCCTAAACCGTAGGTGTATTTTTACAGACCTTTCCTGGTGTTTTCACTGTGAGCGGTCTGTGCTCTCTGTCAGGGTTTCTGGTCCTGATCTCAGTCTGTGAGCATCAACCCGCCCCAGTTTCATGCTAACCAAGTTACCCGGGAGCAGATGGAGAAATCAAAGGCCACGTTCCACACAAACACACACATACACAATCAGCTTTACATTATTCACAACTGCCCAGTAAGCATTAATTCATCTGCTTTGCCAGCTTATTCATAATTTATTGAGCCAGCAAACAGCATGTTTAGCACCAATACATTATAGGAAAGATAAAAAGTTGCAATGCAACAATATTTAAGGGSGATCTATTATGAAAAAATTCACTTTTTACATGTCTTTATACTTCAGTTTGGGTCTGTACTGCTTCTAGAAACAGTCTAAATGCCAAAAAGTACTCCCAGCTGTTTTTTTTGGCAATATGTAAATGTTTTAGTGTCAGCAAATGAGCTGTTCCAAGAACCTGTGGATTGTTACGTCACAATCCAGGTAGCAAAGCCTAAGACGAGCCCAGCCCCTCACCTGGTAACCCAAGTGGAGACTCCGCCCAAAAAGCAAAGACCAAGTTTGTTCTGCTGTTTTAACAACAGKCACGGAGAACAGAGATGAGTGGCCTAATTTTATTTTTGATGGCAATCTCCCTGAAATGTTGCCAAAGAAAGTTGTAGTTTACACAAAGTATTTCAGGATGGACTTTGAAAACTGCTAACAGCACACAGCAGGATTTGCCCAAGGACTTTCAACTGAAGGAAACTTCTGTCTCTACTTTTCATCACAAACATGCAGATGGAACATGATTTGTCATTTAGCACAAACTAGTGCTTAACAATAGCGCATGGTTATGATYGACAACAGAGGAGGCGAGCACCTTTGAGACCCTGCAGCCTGCAGACTTCTGTGTCGGGAGCCTCCAGGCTGCAGCCAATCTGTTCAGCCTTCCCCCTCCACAACACCGGCCTCGAGAAGCAGCGACGGACACGCGTTGGCCTCCCCGGGCACCAGTCTGTTGCTACCAAGCAATGGCCCAGGGTGGCCCAGGGTGGCCGCACGGCGCGCTTCCTGTCATGGTTGATTGCGCTGGATGAGGCTGCAGCCAGGAGTCTCCAGGCTGCAGCAGCATGGATTATGACCGCCTCAATGTTTGTCTTCACCAGCTTCAGGAAGTGGCGACAGACACACATTGGCCTCCCAGGCACCAAAGCGTCAGGCTTCAGGCGGACATTCTAGTCTGTCCCAACCAAGTCCTCACTTGGCGTGACCGCACTGCACGCAGCCTGTCTACTTTTGGTGAAGCCATTTTCACATATCTGAAGTGCTGACATAAGTTGTGTTAGTAGGGCGGCGCTTGGGAGGGCGTGGCCAACAACAACTTGTTTGCATAAACAGCTCATTCTGAAAGGAGCTCAGAACAGGCAGAACAGACCAGGTGAAATCTGATTATTTGAAAAAGGATTTTGTGTATTAAACCTAATAAAAGTGTTTTGCATAGCCCACAGATGTATCGCTCAAGGAACCATAACTGGTCCCCTTTAAAT